GAGCATTTTAATCACAGCTTTACTTGTGCGAATTCTGCATGATGTGTCCTTCTGCAATGTTTGTACATTCACATGTAGGCTAGATGAAGTAAAAGGAATCATATTTACCTTCCTGCTTGAAACAACTAAAAATATGGATGAGATATACAAAGTTGTACAAGATATACAAGCCACAGTTTTTAAAAATAACCGACATTAAGCAACAAAGACAATGACCCCTGAGAGATGGGAAACAAATGAAGTGAGATCCATGATTAAGGGTTTCCAGGGAAAGGGTATACAGGAGAAGCCTGGAAGTTTTTTTGAGATGAGAAAATGGAACTGGAAATGTGGAAAGGCCAAGGAGGCTGGAGTTCACAAATCAGAATATCAAGAACAAAAGATATGGAGATAGATAGAGAAGGGGGGAGAAAGAGAGAGAAATTCGGAGATCTGTGAGGATACCCTCTACACTAATTAAAAGGCAGAAGTTGACAGATTGGATTAAAAGAAACATCTAATAACCCAAGAAACTAACTTTAAATATTAAGACATAGTTTAAAGGTAAAAAAGATAGAGAAAGATATACCAGGCCAGCACTCATCAAAACAAAGTTGGAGTGGCTATATTAATAACAGGCAAAATAGATTCCAAAGTGAAGGAAATTGACAAGGATAAAGAGAATCATTTTATAGACTGACTTGGTGTTTGCTTCTGCAAGTTTCCCCCTGAGTATTAACTTTGATATTAATGCACATACCAGGAGGGGAGAATAAGCCTTAGATGAATAAGAGGCAGAGAGTTGGCCCCGAGGCTGGGAATTTTTTGTCTTAAAGGTTTCCACTTACTACAGAGAGTATTAAATTCTAATCTCAAATCTGAATGCTTCTCCATAGCAAATAATTTTTAAAAGATTTTATTTACTTATTTTTAGAGAGGGGGAAGGGAGGAAGAAGTAGAGTGAGAGAAACATCTATTGGTTACCTCTCGCACACTGCCACCTGGGGACCTGGCCCAAAACCCAGGCACATGCCCTGATCAGGAATTGAACCTGCGACCTTCCATTTTGCGGGGCAGTGCCCAAACTGCTGTGCTGTACTAGTCAGGGCCTGATGCAAATTCTGAAGAGACTATGTTTTCAGACCCAGAATGCAGTGAAATAACAAGATTTCCTGTCTCTTGATGTCGCTGAGTTATTTCTACTCCACCTTCTCACTGGATCTCATTGAATCCATCTTTTTGCACAGTCTCAGTTTAACACCCTACCTGGCCATGTCCAAGCCTTGCCTTCCCATTTATTTATGCTTACAGGGAATGAGAACATACCCCATGCCCTGCACTAAGACAACCTCACCATCACTTCCTAGTTTTAGCTCTAGTTCTTGGTTTTCTCTTCATGTTTGACCTCTGAGGATTTCCTTTACTTTCTTGCAAGGCCAGCTATACATTTAAAAGTATGTTTGTTATATTTTATCCAGCGTGTGTGTGTGTGTGTGTGTGTGTGTGTGTGTGTGTGTGATGGGAAGTTTTTCAGACATAGATTGCCATATTGCTGGAAATGGAACTCTGTCTTCCTGTAAGTAAAATGGGAGTAAATAGCAGCTATCATAGGATGAGGGTAAGATTTGAAGATAATATTCATAAAATACTCAGCACAGTGCCTGGGGTATAGTTAGTGTTCAGTATAGAGGCTTAATACAGGGTGAGTGACTAAGGTGTTAAAGTCATGGTACTTTGAGATTACAAAATTCCCGAAAGCGCGCACTCTGGAGAATACAAAGATAGGTGAGACACAAAGGTCCTGTTAATTTTGTAAACCTTCTGTAGGAATTTATCAAGGCTTTTCTTTTCAAAAGCTTCCTAATTTTGTATCAGTGATTCTTTTTTCTTTATATGAAGTACTCTTCCCTTTCTGTGAGGAAAATTGTATATAAAATGATTTAATTATCTGAAAATGACTACTGTGTAAAGGGACTATGTACTGGATAGCTGATTAATCTAATTCTGAATGAAGGAAAATTTATCAATATCTTTATTCAAATTAGTATTTAAGATTCTTCAACACAAAAGAAAAGTTTTGCCCTAAAGGAACTGGGGACCTGGTGGAAATATGAAATGCATACATATTTGCAAAGAAAGCTGATTACGTTACCAGAAAATATGTGCTTTAAAAAATAATGGTTATAGTTAATAAATACTATGGGAAGGCCAGAAGAGGAAAAGTACCTTGGGTTGAATTAGTCACGAAAGACTTAACGGCGAAATTTTAGGGGGCAAGAAGGTAGCCAGAAGACAGGGGGAAAAATATGTGTGGGCATATAAGCGGTAAAATGAAAAATTGAGAAGGCTAGCCTAATTAAAGAGGATAATTTGTAAAGGAAGCAGTGAGGAAGAAGAAAAAGCACACTGAGGAAGGCTCTAACTGTCAAGGACTTATATTTTAAGCATTGAGAGCAAATGAAGATTGAGACTAATTGACAGCAAGAGACTATAATTGACGCTCCCAGATAGATATATGACATACTCTTTTATAAATGTCCTTACTTCTTGCATTAGAACATATGCTCTCTCTTTAAAGAGAGTGTGTATATATATATACACACTTTATATATATACACTTATATATATACACTTTATATATATACACTTTAAAGTGTATATATATATATATAAAACCCTGACATACTCAAACATTCCAGGTAATTTCTTTCCATTATATATGGGAAGCAGTGAGGGCTTTCCATATATAATATCCTTTGACTTAATATTCAGTAGCGCTTGAATCATTGATCATGAAATTAACATATCTTTATAATGGTGATCTGAAGGAGGAGCATTAACATGCATGCTTAGACTAGCTTAAGTGAAGCTCATTTTATTGAACTTAAATGAATAAAACTGGCTTACTTTATTTCAACTTCAGACCCATGGCACTTGGAAACACATCTAAAATGAGCAGGTGTGACTCTAAAGTAAAGCAGACATATTCCGATCATCATGATTAGAGCGTGATGATTCCATCCTTCACAACATCATGAAAATCTTTTCCCATCTGGTAAAGACTCCTGTCAGCCAATTCCTGTCATTGCCTACCAAAATAAAACAACAACAAAAATCCCCCTCCCCACCTTCGTAATTTTTCTCCTATCTGTATTTTTTACTGTTGCCACTTCTTTATTATATAAAACAATTCAGTCTTATTTGAGTTCCTCTTTACTACTTCGTGAGGCACTTGAAAACAGTTTTGATTTATGATTTTTCTCATATCCTACCCCACTGTCTATTTTTTTTTAAATTGGAGATGAAGAAGAAAAGGATTTAACTTTTGGCTTGAATAAACCACAAGAGCGATCTGGCTTGGTAACAAACTACACCTAATTTCCTATTGTTCTTTTAATTAATTAACATTTTTGCTACATGAGTGGAAAAACTTGAGTGAGAATTCAATGCAAATGTGCCTTTAATGAATATCAAGTGGTTTTACTCTTAGTTCATTTCAAATCAAAGATTATTTGAATCTTAGAAATAAAATAGAAATCAGAAGTTTTATATACATACATTTGTAAATATATTATACATATATATTTATTTTTTATCTTGGTGGTTAGTAATCTAAATGGCACACTGTTTTCATTTTAGATTCTAAATATGCCATAAAAGCAGAGAACTATAGTGAAGAGAGAGACCCATTGTTCACAAAAGAAATAACAAAGAGCTACAAAACTATGACATAGGTCCTAAAAGTTGGGGTATGATACTGACTCATAGAAACTAGTCAGACACACTAATGGAGTGTTGTAATGCAACTTCAGTTGAATGGAATGACATTTTGTTTAGAGAACATTTGATAGATGTCTTCAGACCCATTTTGTACTGTCTTCCTTTTAGGCTTTTCCTTCCTCTTGTTAGGGCAAGAATTATTTCCAAATGCTTGGAAAATGATAATGCTTTATTCCCAGTTGCTGGTTGATATGAATGAATCTCTCTGAAATCAGCCCTTCTCATCTCTTGCTAGAACTTCCTCCCTCATTGTTCGAAGGATCTTTACACAAAGTAATATATAAATAACTAGTATGTGTGTAAAATATTGCTCTTTTCATTGGGAATTTTTCAAACATACTTCAAAGGGTAACGATTAGGATGATAAACCTAGAAGTACTATCATTATCCAGCTTCAACAAGCATTCATGTTTTGTCAGTTTTATAATATTTTTTTCTCAAATTTGTTAGTAGAGATGCATATTATTTTAAAGGGGATCTTCCTGTAAACCCGGGTCCCTAGCCTAGATCATAACGTAAATGATTGTATTTTTGTCTCTATATAGAGAATCGTGATCCCTCCACAGGAAAGGGGATACATGAAGCATATTTCCTCTACAGAAAGAAGTGATTCCTTACTTATAAAAACAGAACATTTAACTACAAAAGGCCTCTACTTAACTTTCGAAAAGTGTGATGCCAGAAATGTCTTTTACATAAAAAAAAAAATTCCCAACGAAATTTTGAATCAATCATCATACTTCGCATTTATTTATTCAAGTTTCTCTTTTCCTCCTTGGCATTTTCACTTCACAATTGATGTTTGTGTGAGGTGGAAAAAGGAAGAAGTATTTCAAACAGGTTGTTTTGAGTTCCCATTATCCAAACTTTTAAATATAATAGAAGATTTCCCCAAATGTCAAAGATAATTGAAATATGAGAGTACTGATGTTACTTCCTCCTTTTAATATTTGCTCTGAGAGTCAAAGGTTTTTTAAAAGGATTATAAATGTGTAATGGCAAAAAAAGTAAAGTAAGGACAATAACTAAGTGCATGAATGGAGAAAGTTATATTTAGACAGAAAAAAATGTGGATGACTACTTCACTCCTTATACTAAAATAAATTCCAGATAAATTGAGGATTTACATACCATAAAAACTGAAGCCATGAAAGCACCAGAAGATAACTTGGGAGACTATCTCAAAATAGCTGTATAATGGAGAAGGTCTTTTTAACTATGACCCAAATCCAGACCCCAACTGGGTAGCATGGCCATGCTTAGTTACAAGGGTTGCTGGGGATTAAGTGTCTGCCAAAAGAGAAAAGGATTGTTAAAGATTGGCTTGGAGAAGTTAGAATTCATTGCTCAAAACTGGACACACTGTCATCCTGAACAAAATTAAGACTCAGTTAGCAAGGAAGAAGGTGGGAAAAAGTTTATGAATAAACAACTAACAAGATCTGCTATAAAGTCACTATGTCCTTTCCCTGCAGAATCTTTAAATCTTGTCATAGCATTGCCCAATTGGATCTTCACTTAACATTTTATTTTAATTACAAAAGTAAAAATAAATGCTAATATGTGAGAAATTAATCAACAATACAAATTATAAAATATTTGTTATGACACAATATAAAAGCTTTATAAATATTCATATTATTGTTATAAAAGCATATAATATAGGCTTAATTAAAAACATATTTACCTAGTCTATATAAAATAAAAGAAAACATTATTTTCAATTTATCGAAAGAGGAAAATTTCAAATTAATTTCAAAATAAAAATAATTACTATAAGGGACAGCAAATTGTTTTAGATAAAAATAAATCACAGATTTTTTACTCAAAACTTTTTTTCACATCAAATAAACAATATCATATGAAGTCTTTGTAGTTCCAAAATATAGAAAATAATAAGTATAATTATATAATCTTCCGATAATTATTTAATTAGGTAATTTATTCCTGTGATGTTATGATGATTGGTTTAGAAGAATACTTTAAAAAGCTAAGCATACTTATAATAAGAATATTATATAACCAGCATATTGTCTACAACCTCAATCAAAAAGTTCCAGGAAACAGTCATCAATAAAAAATGCATTTAAGAAACTTCAGGCCAAAATCATGTCATGGTTTTGCTAATGCCAAGTCATAAAACACTGGCTATTTTACTGAGGAAAGCACAATTTTAAACGAGTCAGGTTATGTGTGTAAGTCATAAATTTTTAAGTGACTAGAAAAATAATCTGGCACTGTGTCTTTCAACCTACTCTATTTGCTTTGATCTTTCAATAAAAAATCTTTGACATGCTTTCTAGTTGGTTCAAGCATTTCCAAAAATATAGAAATTTAATGGATATATTTTTACTGGCTAAGACATAAAAATATTTATAATAAGTAACAATATAATTTCAGAAACCCTCATCCCCTTTAGAATTTATTAATAAACAAGGAAATGTAGAATGGCAAAACTAAAAATATAAAATTTCTTCTTCTCAAGGACATTTCAGTTTTTGCTCTTAAGTCCTTCAACTCATTTGGATGAAGCCCACTCACATTATTGATGGTAATCTTTACTTACAGCCAACTGTTAACCACGTCTTCAAAATACCTTCATAGAAACACATAGATAGTATTTAATTAAATAACTGGGTAATGTAACTTAGCTAAATTGAAACATAAAATTAACCATCACAGATAGAAAAAGGTGGAAGAAATAGTTAATATATTGTTTTGTATAATGTGGATTTAAAATTTTTTTCTGAAAGCTTTAAATATTAAACTCAAACTAAAAGAATGCACTAGATTAAATACTATCTGTTTCATCAACACTGGGTAGACTCAATTTGATGAATATTCATAAGGAAAATATCTCATTAGTACTACTTGTAAAGTCAGTGTTTTTCCACAGTGGGATGTGACTTGCCAAGAATCCTAATCCTTCCCTCCCTCTCTCCCTTCCTTCCTTTCTTTCTTCCTTCCTTCCTTCTTTTGTTTTTCTATTCTTCTTTCCTTTCATAGAGATGTGTTGAGCAAGCACTTACTATGTGGGAAATACTGTCTTAGGTAAGCACAATATAGCAGTTAATATAGGCAGAAATCCTGCACTCATGAGGCTTATAATCTATTTATGGAGGTAGACAAGAAATAAGAATACAAAGCGGACAGCACTCCTCCCTCACTCCTCCTTCCCCTCTCTCTCTGAAATCTCTAAACATCTCCTCGGGTGAAGACAAAAAAATACCATAACTTCTGGCACAGAAAACCACTAAGAAGAAAAATCAAATTGTAAGTGGAGGCTTTTCATGGGTACAGTGGCTTTACAAGGATATGACATTTGAGCAAACTTCAATGAAGGAAGGAAGCCACGCAAAAAATACTTGTGTTGAAAAGTATTTTATGCCGAGGGAATTATAACTCAAAAGGCTCTGAGATAGTAGGACTCTTGGTATATTCAGGAAACAGCAAGACATTCAGTGTGACAGGACTATAGTAGAGGGGTGGAGATGTGTGGGAGGGCCTGAGGTTTATGAGAGAGGGAGAGGCCGAGTCAGGTAGGGCCTTCTAGATCATGGAAAGAAGTTCGAACTGTATTTTATGTGATAGGAGGATTTTAAAAAGGGATGTGCAGTGATTTGATTCACATTCTACATTCCTGCTTATGTGTGTAGAATGGACAAGAGGAGTAAAAGTAGAAGCACAAAGACTGCTAGAAGATGCTACTATAGAAGTCTGGGTAAGACGATGGTGGCTTGTGCTGGGGTGGTAGCAAATAATATTGAAATGCAGTCAAATACAGGATAGATGCTGAAGGAACACTGACAGGATGCACTCATGAATTAAATACGGGATGTGAGAAAAAGAGGAATCAATGATGTTACCCAGGGTTTTGGCCACTAGAGGACTAATGATACTATTAGGTACTTGGGGATACTGGGGGAGGAGCTTTTGTTGTAGTAAATTTAAGAGTTCTATTTTGGACATGAGATATTCAAAAGGAGGTGCCAAGGAACAGTTTGAGCTAAGAGGCTGGGTTGGAATTTTTTATTTTTTATTTTTTCCTAATATTTTATTTTTAATATATTTTATTGATTATGCCATTACAGTTCTATTTCCCCCCTTCATTCCCCTCCACCCTGCACACCCCTCCCCTACCATTCTCCCCCCCTTTAGTTCATGAACATGTGTCTCAAGTTCTTTAGATTCTATATTTCCCCTACTATTCTTGCCCTTCCCCTATTTTCTACCTACCATCTATGCTACTTATTTTCTGTACCTTCTCCCCCCTTCTCCTTCTCCCACTCCCGTTGCCAACCCTCCATGTGATCTTCATTTCTATGGTTTTTAAATTTAATTTAATTTTTATTGAATATATTGGAGTGTCATTGGTTAACAGAATTATATAGGTTTCATGTATACAATTCTACAGAGTACATTGTCTGTATAATGTATCATGTGTTTACTACCCCAAGTCTGGGGTTGAAGATATTAATTTGGGAGTCATCTGCATACATATACACTATTTAAAGTCATGGATCTAAATTAAGTTATTTTGAAAGAGCAGCAGATAATGAAGAAAGCCAAGGGTTCTCTCATAACATTTAGAACTTTGGAAAATGTCTTGGAATACTTATTAGTTATGTTCAATATAAATATGTTCAATTTGTATGTTCAATATAAATTTGAAACATGAATTAGGAGCAGTGTGAGGACGTTACCAGAAGCATATTTCTTCTCAGTAAATGGAACCTTCCTAACACTTATAGTTAATGCCTAATCTTATGAGCATTGATTCGTCAAAAATCTTCACATTTTCACCAAGTCACAGCCTTTCTAAAAAGGCCTTTTGAATTCAGTAGGACTTATACTGGATGAACTCCAATGTCCTTTTCAAGATGTAGGATTTATTGTTCATCCTTAAACGTTTTTCATGATGGACTTCTTCATTTAACAGTGTTCAGCCGCTGCCTATTTGCCTTGAGATAAAATTCAAACGTCTCTGATGAGGTTTTATTTATTTATTTTTAATACATATTTCTAGGTATTTATTTTTTAGAGAGAGGGGAAGGGAAGGAGAAAGAGAGAGAAACATCAATGTGTGGTTGCCTCTCACATGCCCGCCACTGGGGACCTGGCCTGCAACCCAGGCATGTGCCCTGACTGGGAATCAAACCAGTGACCCTTTGATTCACAGGCCCGAGCTCCGTCCACTGAGCCACACCAGCCAGGGCTCTGATGAGGTTTTAAAAACAGTACTTTGTACTTTATCTTCACCTTTCTTTCTGAATACAAATTTTCTGCTGTAGTAAGTCTGGCTTCTTCCTTCTCTACCACAGAAAACTGTTCATCATGTACTCTTACCTTATTGATCCCCTTGCCTGTATATCTAGTCCCTCTTCTTTCTCTATTAAAGGAATTAATAGAGAAAGTTAACAGAAGCTTTAAAAAAAAGAGCATTGTTCCAGGACAGAATTTACCTGACTCTTGAACTGCCATTTCAGTAATCTAACATGTTAATTCATGTTAATGCATGTTAACAATCAAATATTAAATGTTATATTGTAGTGTATTAGTAACCATTTCATAAGCGCATAATTCATCCTCTCATTCAACAGCACTGATTCATTTTAATAAATACAGTTGTTGAGCTCCTACTTTGTCCCATTATCTCATTATCTCAAATCCTTATGAAAACCTCCTAAATATAGGTAGTTGTTGAAGCTGTCAGCACACCACACCTATTTCCTTGTCACTTACCATTCCTGGTCCATGGCCACGGAACATTCCTTTTGACTATTTGCCTGTGAGCACATGGGACTTCTCAGAAGTGTAGGCAGGTAAAGAACCTAGGAGCAGCCTTCACAAAAGATGCAAAGAAGTTGGAGGATAAGTGCCCCCAGCTTCTTCTCTCCTCATGTAGGATAACTCTGAGACATGATTAACTGGGCTTTCCATAGTTCCCCCATGGAATTGAGCTCCCCACCCCTTACCTGCAGTGACTACCTATTTGATAACAGACCCTTGATTTGTTTCCTTCTCTGTCTCCCTTGCCCTGTCTGCAAAGGAGCTTCTTGGGATCACCACCAATTTACAATCCATTCAGGTCTTAGGGTTTGCTTCCGGGGGAACCCAACCTAAGTCAATAGGTATTTGTTATCCATACAGTTAACCTACGTGAAACTGAGACTCAGGGAGGTTAAGTAACTTCAGTTGAATAACAAATCTAGTAGTGGCAAAGGGAGGATTTAAATACAATCTGCCTGTTCCCACATCCCAGAGTTGGGGCTGATTTAGTCTTCATTATT